TCTCTCTGTCTCTGTTTACACCCCGAACACGAACATGTACAACTCGGATTCTTTTCTCTCGGGGCTTATAGGATTCTTCCGGACCATGGACCAGGCCAGGCGTCCACGGATAAGAGGTCGAGCCACAACAAATCATATCTTGGCCCCTGGTTGCGCGTAGGCCAAGAAGGGGATCCGCCGGTTTCTCCGAGTGGCGCTTAACTTTTACAAATTTCTTTTAAAGGAGTTATGCTATGGAGTATAGAGTTTACATGTAAACAAATTCCGGGTGTAGGATCGCCGCAAAGATCATCAAGGCATCGCGTGGCGCTCTAGATACGATTTAGTCGATCCTAGGAATGTGATTTGCCATGTGCAGGAATGTATCCAAGTCCGGGTTGGGACGTACGATGTTGTTTCCGTATATTCCCCCTTGGGCGCCCTTGAGCGCTCAAGGGCAATGTGACTAGGGAAACTTTCTTTTTGGTCTTTTACCCCAGTGGGCAATGGCGGGTGAGGATCAATAATCTGTCAACAATCCTGGGGAAATGTAACAGTGAAAGGGTTGCCCTGTAAGGGATCCCGATCGGTCGTGTGGTTATCCACAGATGTGTGGTTGAGTACGTAATTGACAGCCTTCCACATGTTCTGGAACGCACAACCGGGAAGACCGAAGGATGTACATATGTAGGGTTTTTTTTTGTTTTTGGAGTAAATTGGATAATCGAACCATGTAGAAGAAGGAAAAAGAAAAAGAAATAGAAATAGAAATAGAAAAACAAAATACCAAGCCATACATGTTGATCACGAGGTAAGCGAAGTCCGAGAGTCAGAACAAGAGTTATGGCCCCCAGCCCTGATGACGATCAACGCCACGGCCGTAAGATGGACCATGGCGATACTTTGCACTTTAGCAGTACCTGTCCGGCCCTGACGTCACATACAGCGAAAGGCAAGTAATGGGCGACTTGGCAATATCTTGTTTTAACAAGACTTTGAACCAAATGTGATTTTTTTTGTTTTTTTTGTTATTTTTTTTCTTTCAGCCCCTGTTGTCATTTTCATATACTTTTTTTTGCATGGAGTCCACTCCGTCCCACGTCCCACGTAGAATGTCCATCACTTATGGGGAACCATGCGGTCGGGCACGGTCGGCAATAACCCCGGCTCCTTGCTTCGCGGGGCATATGGGGTTTGATATGATCTTCTGCAGTTTTTATGTAGACTTGATGTTACATGGAGAGAGATTGAAACTCGAAGCGGACATTCTCTCGGCCTAGAGCGGTAACGGGGGAAGTTGTCGGGAGATGTAGTTGTCTCCAAGGTGGGTCCGATTACCCCAATGCGAGCTTCCTGTTCCGGCTATTTAGCCCAGAGACGTACCAGAAAGAAATGAATCAAATTCTTCATCCATAGAGGTTTATAGGTTTCAGGTAATGTTATAATGAATTGAGAGTTGGAATTGTTTATGCAAAGATTCCCAAGGGGTCCAAAAAGGCAAAAAAGGCAATAGTCTGGAGAGAGTCCGGAGAGAAGTCTGGAGAAAAAAATTAAAGTGGGGACACTCGGCATCCCGTCTGGAGGTCAAAAAGGTTCAGTAAAGTCCAGTAAAGTAAGTACCTGGTACATCTTGTATTTTGTAATAAAATCTAATTAATTTCACTGGTTCATCACAAGAAACGTGGAAATTGACATACTGGAACTCTGTACTAGGACGGTAATGGAAAGGTACTGACATGGTGAACCCTGGAAACATTGACTCTTTCCTGCATTTGGCTCTTGCCCTTTTTCTCCCCGTTTCTGTATTTAAATTCCTCCATTTTCCTCTTTTTTTTCCTCTTTCCTTTTCTATCTCTATCTCTCCCTCTCTGTCTGCCTATTGATCTTCTTCAGACTTCTTGTGCCCTCATTTCCTGGGGTTTCTTCTACTATCACTGGTCTTCCATACCAGTTTAATATACCTATACTATCACCTCGGCGCCACAGGTTAAAATAATGGCGATCAACCCCGAGAAACCCGGCAGGGATACCGTGCAGGCAGCAGAAGCTGCCCACGCCCAAGCCGTCGTCAATGCTGCTACGGAAAAGTTAGAAGAAGAGGATCAGCTCGAGGAGGCCTCGCCTACACCTGATGAGATAGTCGAGCTCACCGAGGACATGTGCTACGATAAACTGGGATACTCGTTCAGTGAAAAGAAGAAGTGGATCATTATCACTACGATCTTCCTCGTGCAAACATCGATGAACTTCAATACATCGCTCTACTCGAACGCCGCCACAGGAATTTCAGAGGAGTTCGGTGTCTCCATGCAAGCTGCGCGCTGTGGTGCCATGATCTTCTTGGTTCTTTATGCTTTTGGTTGTGAACTCTGGGCACCATGGAGTGAGGAGTTGGGTCGCAAACCCATTCTCCAGGCATCTCTGTTCCTTGTCAACATCTTCCAGCTTCCTGTGGCTCTGGCCCCCAACTTCGCCTCCATCTTGGTCGGTCGTGCCCTCGGTGGTCTCTCTACCGCGGGTGGCTCTGTCACCCTAGGAATGATTGCCGATATGTGGGAACCCGATGATCAACAATACGCCGTGGCTGCTGTCGTGTTCTCATCGGTTGGTGGATCTGTGCTGGGTCCAGTGGTCGGTGGCTTCGTCGAAGCTTTCCTGCCCTGGCGGTGGAATATCTGGATTCAGTTGATCTTCGGTGGTTTCGTGCAAATCGCCCACTTCCTGTTGGTCCCAGAAACCAGAGCTACCGTGATGATGGATCGGATTGCCAAGAATATGCGCAAGTCCGGCGAAAACCCCAACATCTACGGTCCCACAGAGGGCATGTCGTTCCGCCAGCGTTTCCCGCCCCGTGAGCTTATGGCTACCTGGATTCGTCCCTTCAAGATGTTCCTGACTGAGCCCATTGTATTGGTGCTTTCTCTGCTGAGTGGTTTCAGTGATGCTCTTATTTTCATGTTCATCCAGTCGCTTTCCCTTGTGTACTCCCAGTGGGGCTTCAACACCTGGGAGAAGGGTCTGGCCTTCATTCCAATTGTGATTGGTTACTTCATCGCTTGGTTCTCTTTCTTCCCAGTCATCAAGCGCAATATCAAAGAGCGCCGCGACAATCCGGAGAGCGAACGGGCACAGTACGAGTCCCGTCTGTGGTGGCTGCTGTATACTGCTCCCTGTCTGCCAATTGGTCTGATCGGATTCGCCTGGACCAGTCTGCCCCAGTGCCACTGGATTGGAACTATGATCTTTGCTGCTATCATCGGTATTGCCAATTATGCTATCTACATGGCCACAGTTGACTACATGATCTGTGCCTACGGACCATACTCTGCGTCTGCGACCGGTGGCAATGGGTGGGCGCGAGACTTCCTTGCCGGTGTGCTCACTATTCCAGCCACGCCGTTCTTCACGAGTAAGTTGTCATCTACAATACATCTTCCATTGTTATAATATTGACAGTTTTTTCACAGATATCGGCGGCAAATATCATCTCGAATACGCCTCGACCATTCTCTGTATGTCTATTCTCCCCTATCTCCCACCATGAGCCATCGGTCTAACATTCATTCTAGTCTGTATCTCCTTGCCTCTTGTCGTTGCGGTCTATGTCATTTACTGGAAGGGCCCCGCACTGCGCAAGCGTTCTCCATTCGCCCAGCAGCTGGAGGATGCTCGCCACCAAATGCAGGTCCAGAGCCGACGTGGATCCAAGATCCCTCCGGCATCTCGCGCCAGTTCGTATGCGCGCTCCCAGCAAGACCTCCGCATCCGCCCAACTCTCGGTAGCCGAGGCAACTCCCGGGTCAATTCGCAAGTGAATTCCCGCGTCAATTCGCGCCGCAACAGCATCAACCTCAATCCTTAATCGCTCTCTTTTTGTTGTATTTTTGCTGTGAATACTCATATCCAGCGGCGGTAGTGATCGGACTGAAGTCACTGTCGTGGGAATCCATGAGAATATTCACATTTCTTCTCTGTGCATGTTTACGTCGGCGTCAATCCTACGCTGTGCGTGGCTGGCTCTAATTCTTGCACCTGACGCTCGGTGGATATCCCACTCCCAGTCCGTGGCTTTTGACCCTGTGTGCATTTTGAGTACGATTGGGATTGAACTGGGAAGGGGACGGGCGCTGGCTTTTAAAAAATAATTGTTTTTTTTTGTTTTTCTGTGTTTCCTTTTGACTCGAAAGACAAGACTTGCGATCTGGGGGGGTTGTCATGTATGCTATGGGTTTTCGCGACTGAGCGATACCAATTATGAATTATACCATTATTATTGACCGGACAGATTGCTTTGTGGCTATCAGTATTTGAGTATACAGTGTAGTAACGGTGTACATGTGTAGATATCTGGTTTTCTTTCGGACTAGTAACAGTTGGAGGATATTGCCTGGGCAGCACGAGAACTGCAAGTAAATCGACTTCGATCTAGCAGTACATTAGTACGATCTAGTAATGCATTTATTGGTATCTTTGAGCGGTCCCGGCACCAAGGATACGGTAGAAACGATGTGGCATTCTTGCCGGAGGTCTGGGTTGATCCATGTCCGGTTCCGGCCATGACTAGATGTAGTCAATGAAGCCGAGGGTCTACGATTTCAAGTGAAAGAACCCGCTTTTAGTATAGACTACGAAATCACTATACTCTCAAGCTTAGGTCACATTGAAGGCTTGTGGCGTTGTGGTTTCTCAACACATCCGGGGGCCAGGCAGCTCGGGACTGATTGGGACTAGTGTTAAATGTTAAATGTAGTTTAATATCACTCTATCACTTCCAGGGTTTCCAAGGTTGTTATGTTACATATTGGCTTCTTCTGAATGAGACAATTCCATATGTACATCCATGTATCTCCAGTATATATTGGATAATGTCTGGCACTATACTTGTTTCCCTTTCCATTTCAGTGCTCACCTCTTGCTACTTTTCGATCTCAGTAGAATTGCATTCGAGGCGAGGAAGTTCACACATATCACAACTTAAGCTTAACGACTAAGCCTAGGGCATAGGAGATTAACGGTCTCGGCTATAATGATGTAGTCCCTGGCGGGGAAATAATAGCACTGGCCAGGATCATGCGAGTAAGTGGCAACAACGATGCGACATCCACCTTTCCAGCCTGGACTTCCTGTAGGACATTCCCTAGTGTCCGGAGGGTTGATCCACCATTTTCAGGGGACTTGGGTGAAATCGGACATCCTAGTGTTTGTGCACGCGCAAGCATCCACTCTTCGGTACTGCATGCCCGCCACATTCGTTCCGGGGCAGGAAGTGGAAGTCTGAGAATCATGTTGTCGTTCAAGGGCTCAAAGTAGTTCTCATTTAACTTTTGTGTCTTCGACTCCAGGATGTTTATTATATGAACGAAGAAGAAGTTCCGACGAAGAGATTCCATGAATTTCCATTGGTTCCAATCGTTTTCATCCTCGTGGTGGATTTGGAGCGCCTTTGAATAGACACTCGATAGTCGTCGGGTCATCTTCATGTTGGTGAGTCAATCGGTTATATGTAAATTGGATACGTGTAGCTCACCTTCAGCAAGAATGAGCTATAGAGTTCGGCAGATCTCTCAAACTCCTGTTGCCGCTCCTCGCTTCCTTTGCTACGCATTGGCTTCTTAACGGCAGCTGATAAGAAGTTGTTACCGAACAGTCCCATAATCTGATAGATGCATACAGCATGCATAGCAGCCAGGCAGAATTCCGGGGTATCGGTATAACTGTGGAAATTCCGAACAAGCTTTTCCCGCTCTTCGGATATCATCCGATCGACAAACCCAGAATCTGAGCCTGCTGTGCTTGCATAGGCACCTATACAGGCTAAGGCATCTGTCATTGGTGGTGCCATTTTGCCTAAAGAACAGCGGTATAATCTGTGGTGGACGAAGGGGGACCAGAAGTCTCGGTCGAGAATAAGACTGGGATATTCCCGCAGATGCTCCAGTATCTCCTGGCACAGACTTTTTGGATCAGTCCGGATTTGATGTCCCAGACCGGCCTTGAATGTGTGCCCGAAGATGAGGTGGGAGGGGCTGTAAAGCCTCTGGTCCAGGTTTACGGACATTAAACGCTCATCTTCGTTGGAACCGTCGAGTATCATTTCCGAAGAAGAGGAATGTGATCGCCCGCTTTCTGTGGATGGACTTGATTTGTTTTCAATGTGTTGAATGGGATCGAGATGTTTTGAAATAGATTGGTCGGATGTTGTCATAGACCCGGTCGGGAGAGGTTGAATTGGTTCCCACTCTAGAAGTTGTGTTATATCTCCATTCCACGGTAGATAGCTCCCGGTTATTTTGGTTGGATAAGACCAATTCTCATCTGTTATTGTATCCTCTGTAAATTGCATACTTTCCAAATCAAAGGGTGGCCATGTATCAGGTAGTAGAGCGTTGAGGTCCAGAGATTCCTGGTGGTTTTCAAATGTAGTATCATCCAATAAGACAGGATTTATCTCGGTAGGATGTGAGGACTCAGATATCGTGAGATTGGTGTTCGGCTGTTTCTGAACAGTTGGGGCCATCGTATTGACCGAGCGTAAATTCTTCCCCGCCTCTCTGTCCGCAGGGTATTGACATGAGATTCCCAGCTGAGCACATCGTGCACAGCTAGGACGGGCCAAAGAACAACGGATCTTTTTTTGAGCGCATGTTGCACAGGACTTTTGTTTGGATTTGCGGCTCTGGCCTCCTTTGGCGATACATCGACGCCGATGTCGATCTCGTAGATCATCTGGTAGGATATCAGGTTAGACGACCTGTCTTCTATATCTTGAATAATAAATGAACATACGCCGCGAGTAAGTTTTGTGGCAAATCTCACAACGGAATTCATTATCATTGCCAGAGTTCCGAGAAAAATATTTCGACCCTTTGATTAATTCCTGACTGGATGTCTCGTGAGATTTATCCATTTCGTCTTTGCCTGGAATTAATCCCAAAGTGAGTGTGTTGTTAACCATGTGGAAGTGTCCACGGTGAGTACAATATAGAAAATGGGGTTTGTTGAAGAGAAAGTAGATGGTCTATTTGTAATTCTCACGCTAAGTAATCTACCCGCCTATAATACCACTCGGAACGAGAGCTGTAAAGAATAATTGGTCCAAGATCTTGAGAGTGAAATCATGGCTATGAGAAGTACAGGTATTCCTCCAAGGGGTTTATTCGCATCTTGATCTTGAAGTATAACTAACTGCCCAGTCAAGATGAAGTGTGTAAACAAAACATACCGATACGCCAATACGACAAAACGATGTTCACTCAAAAATGCAATACCATTCATCTGGATGGCTTGAGGAATTCAGCTTCAGATCTAGGATTTGGGTTAGATGGTCTCATATTTCAGTTAGTTAAAAGAAAAGAGGGAATAACAGTTTATTGAGACTCCGTGGCCCGGGGTGCCCAGGAAGGATATGGATGATCCTGTATTATTGCTCGATACTAAGACTAGGCTCAACAAGTTGGCTGCAATATCGTGTTAATCGTATCCATGAATTGGAAACAGACCTAGATTTTATCAAGCAAGTGTGGGAGGAGTTGAAAATGCGCGTCTCTATAAAGGGGAGGCCAATGTGTTGAAATATCCATCGGAGGTATAGATCTCGAAGGGGTCACACCTCATGTCATGTCTGCTTCAACTTCACGAACATACGGAAAGAAAGATACTCGATATTTATATAGAGATTCCATTCAAAGGTTCTTTGGCAATCCGAGATCTAGGTAAGAGCTTGGGTTCCGATCTGTGGCTGATAGTTTCCTAATACACTAAAGCGAGTCTTTGCTTTGCTTCAAGAAATCCTCCCAGCTGGTCACTTGATAACCAGACTTTTCGAGCAGTGCGTGGCTCTCCTTCAAGCTCCTGCCATTGAAATAACCCGGGTTCTCAACGAACAAGTGATTCTCCAACATCTCCTGGCCCATCGGACCAGGGATGAAACTCTTGTAGGTATCAGAGTCCACCTGAACATATCGGGTTTCTTTGCCAGTGACCGACTCAAACTCGGCCAAGATACGCGTAGGGGAGTAATAGTCTGCCGCTGCCAAAAGCTGAAGGCCAAGAACCTCGGAACGGTTCTTCAGGGCCGCTGCCACGTACTTGCCTGTCCATTACATTGCGTTAGCTTAAGCCTCTGGTGTTTGAGTCAATACATTTTATCACATACCCATATCGCTAGCAATATCAATGAGCGGGAATTGAGCGTCCTTTCCGACAGGGTAGGCTAAATTGTAAACACCATCATCGCCCTTGCGCAGCATTCCAAAGACGGTGTAATTGGTCATGAAATAACCGGGCAGCACAAAGGTGGCAGGCACGCCAATCGACCGAATATACTCCTCAACCTTTGCCTTGTGGTCAAAGTGAGGGACGTGCTTAAGTCGACCACCCGATGTCTCGGTGACGTTGAGCAAAGAGGAGAAAATCAGATGCTGCACACCAGCCTCCTTTGCTGCATCAGCAACATTCTTTCCATGTATCAGTTCAGCATCGGATCCGGCATTTCCCCAGTCCGGGGTGGTCACGAGGAAGACCGAGTGGCTGCCTTGCAATGCCTCAACCAGTGACTCCTTTGAGTTCATGTTGGCCTTAAGAAGGAGTGTGTAAGCATCGTATTTCTATGTAGTGTGTAGTGCATAATGAGGGGACTTACGGTCTTGACCTCGACGCCCTGCTTCACGAGAGCTTGAGCTGCCGGCTTGGATGCATCACGAGTGAGACCACGGATCTTGAACTCCTGGGAGAGGGTATCATCCTGCTGAATAGTGCGAATGACAGAACCGCCTTGCTGTCCTGTCGCACCGAAAACTGTGATAAGTTTAGACATTGTTGACTTTGTAGATGTGTTTGGTAATTGCTTGGTTATAGACCAGTTGAAGTGCTGGGTATTTGAATTTATAGGTCGCGTCCGTCGCAATGTCTCTAAGCTTCTACTTGCAAAGAGATCGGATTTCGGGGTTCTTGTTTGTAAGCGTGGCCAACGTGTCCAGGAGATATAAGCTTGGTAACAAAATCTATCGGGATTAACTTCATTGCCGTGATACTATTCCAAGTTGGTTATCCAAAAGTGTAGATTTACTCAGCGCGGGATTGAGATGAAGCCCGAAAGCTAATAATGACATACACTTACATACCAGACTTCACTTGAGCTTTTTTTTCTTACACTTTTCTCTAGTCACTATTGCCACCTTAAATTCCTCCTATATATATTTAAAGGTCTGACAATCTCGGGAGACACCATTATACACCCCCACATCCATATACAACCAACGCAACAGAGTGTTTCCTCTACAAAATGGTTGCAGTACTGATTACCGGTGCGACGGGAAAGCAAGGAGGTGCACTCATCAAGAGTCTAAGTGCTAGGAAATCTTCTTTCGAAGTTCTTGCCGTCACCCGAAATGCCCAATCCCCATCGGCCCAGAGATTGGCGAAGTTGTCATCCAACATCAAACTGGTCGAGGGGAACATGGACGATCCCGCAGCGATCTTCCAAAATGCACGCAAAGTCGCCAAATCCCCCATCTGGGGTGTCTACAGTGTTCAGGTATGCACTTTCGAACTTCTTGTACGAAATTACCTAGACTAACCAGCCCTAAATAGGTCGCAATTGGCAACGGCGCCCTGGAGGAGTCGCAAGGAAAGGCACTCATTGATGAGTCGCTGAAGGAGAATGTTCAATTCTTCGTGTACAGCTCTGTTGATCGAGGAGGAGATGCCTCTTATACGACTCCGACTAAAGTCCCGCACTTCATCAATAAGCATAACATCGAGCACCACCTTGTTGAGCGAAGCAAGAATACCGATATGCGGTGGACAATTCTTCGACCGGCTGCCTTTTATGAGAATCTCGTTCCGGGATTCTTCGGCAAGGTTTTTGCGACTAGCTTCAAGATGGCGTTGAAGGGGAAGCCTTTACAGATGGTGGCGACGGATGATATTGGATTCTTCGGGGCCGAAGCTTTCCTACACCCGGAGGCATACCAGAACAAGGGTATTTCCTTAGCAGGAGATGAGTTGACATATGACCAAATGGCGTCGATTTTCCAACAAAAGACGGGCAAGCCGATTCCGTCGACTTTCCAATTCCTCTGCTCAATCTTTATGGCATCGATGAAGGATATGGGGTATATGTTCAAGTGGTTCCATGATGGGGGTTACAAGGCCGACATCCCTGAGCTGAGGAGAATCAATCCAGAGCTCAAAGACTTTGGGACGTGGTTAGAACGGGACAGTGGATTCAGGCGTTGAGTTTTGTCATCGACATGACACTTTTTTTATGTATTTATTTTGTCTTTTTCGTGATCAGGTTACTGAGGATTGTGCTTATCAAGATGTATAATACTATAATACCAATCGAAATAATCCAACCGTTATTCTCCTGTTATATCGCAACCACTTCAAGTACCTCTAGATGCATGAACGAAATGCGACCTATATATGATTATGGTCAATCGGCTGGCTTGGTATAATAGTTTCCCGAGGTCGACTTATAATACAGCTGCCCAGGAGTTGTACTTTATTATACTCTGCAGGGCTGTGTAAGAGGTGATTTGGGTGTTAGGGATGATCTATATGGCATTTCAACCTACACCGGCAAAATGCATAGATTTAAAGTAAATTTTAACCGCAGTTCTATAGCAAATATTTTAATAGATACATCTCCACAGATATAAATATATGAATATATAAATAAATATATATAATTGTATGAACAAGAATAGCATTGTAGTCTCAGCCATTTCCGATAAAGACACTCTTGGCCCGTGCACTTGACCACACTCCCCTTCCAATTCCCCCGACCTCCCAAGTAGGTACTCATACCTAGGTACCTACAAAATGAATTGTCTTACTTCCATGCGTCTCTGTGCAAGACGCATCTCAATTACCCCTCTCACTCGACTCCCCAATCTGCACGCACCCGCATTCCCGCTCACACGCTCATTCCCGAGAATGGCATCCAGCGCGTTTCAGTTCGCCGAGGGCGAGGATGCGCAGCAACTTGCCCGAGATGCCGATGCTTTATTACAGCAGGGCTGGGCGCAGGATGGAGACGGGATGGGGGTCACGAAAACGTTTCATTTTAAGAGCTATTTTAAGGCTGTGGTGGGTTATTATTTTCTTCTTTTTTTTTTTTTTTTTTTGTTGTTCCTGGTCTGGTCTGGAGTTAAGACTGGGGCTGCTTCCATTTTTCTTGTGAGACTGGATAAACTGGATAAACTGACAACCTCTACGGAGTAGGCATTTGTTAATATGATTGCAGCCGAGAGTGCATCCAAGAAACATCATCCCACCATGACAGTGGTAAGTGGGACGTTTTAAAATCGGTGCCTGGGTCAAATAAAAAAGAAATTAAGGCTAACGCCTCATTAGCGGATTGGCTCGGTCGATGTGCACTGGACAACCCATCGCCCACGAGGATTCACTCAAAAGGATGTTACAATGGCACAACATTGTGATCGAGGTGCTGATCTGATGGGTGCTGTTGATCCAGGCCAAGGACTGAAATGTGGACCAACTATCTAAGTTGATCTCACTCATTTTCTCAAATTTGCGACTCAACAGATCCTTTACTCCCCGGTCTGGCCCCCTCCTCGCACACTATCACCAGTAGATCCCCCCACTGGCGGTTGGAACTAGTCTGAATGCGAATTTCCCCTTGAAATCCTGCTGGAAGTGCCCTTTTTTTTTTTTTTCTCTGGATGTTTTTTTTTTCTCCCGAAAGGGTCGTTCCTCGATTTCAATTTTCAATTTCGATTTGGATTTCTCTACATATATTTATAGATCTATATTTCAACGGCTGTGCCATGACGTCGCAATTAATCCATGCCCACGTTCCTTTCCGATGATCATTGCCTATATTAAACCTTGTTCGCTCCTTTTTCTTCAATGCGCTCAACGTGAGATCCTAACTTGAACTCTTTGGAGCTATCTGGAGCTGAAGCTGTGTGGAACTGTGTGGAACTCTCCATCATGAATCCAGATCAGCCATCAATTGGCGAACGCCGAGGTCGTCGACTTGCGCCTCTACAAACCAATTTCAGTCGACCAGCAGCTCAAAAACGGGTACAACGCCCTCGACCAACCGAGTATCCCAGTACCGATGGATCAGAAGGTCCCATTCCGCTCCAGGCCCCGGTTAAAAGGCAATCCTCCAAAACGAGTCTGCGCAATCTCTTTGGCCATAAATCTTCGCGCGCAGACCCCAAATTGGAGGAGATCATAGAGGCACAGTCAGAACCTCAAACTGCCATTCTGTCGGAAACAGCCCTGTCGCCCTCGATCATGAGCCCCCAAACTATAGACACCAATCCCACCATTACCTCCCCGACAATTACCACCCCGACAGAGCGATCACGCACAACATTGAAGCCCTCCCGTTCGAAACACGACCCCACACATGCGAACCAGGAACAGTATGGCTGGAAGCCTCCCCCATTGTTCCAGGCCTATCCCCAATCTACCAAGCATGCCTGTCTCCCGGCGCCTGCTCTCTCTGCGGATTCCATCTTGCGCCTGCACGCGACCACCGCAAGGAGCTCTACCGACGATAACCCTGTCAATCCTTTAGAACGGGATGAGGCCGCTGATGCAGCGCGTAAAAAGCGGGAACAAAAGCAAAAGAAACATCTCCGGACACTATCCGGTACCATCAACAAGGTGGATTGGACTGAGAAAATATATGTCCTAGCAACCACTGGTTACATCCTCCAATATGCAGGCGACGGGAAGCACGACCGTCTTCCAGAAAGGATGCTACTGCTAGGGCCCAACTCTGTTGCATTTGCTAGTGATGCTATCCCCGGGAAACATTGGGTAGTCCAGGTCTCTCACAATCCGACAGATGATGATTCCGCCGTGCCGGAGCCCCCAAACCTCGATTTTCGCGCTTTGGTTTCCACAAACCGAATACCCGGCGATTTTCGCGCAATTTTCTTCTAGTGTTCGACAACCCCGAAGATATGATTGGTTGGTTGGTGGCCGTTCGAGCTGAGATCGAAAAACGGGGAGGACGCAAATTCACGCAAGAGAAGCACTCGGATGAAGACACGATGCCTCAGCTGCGGTCCAAGACAAGCGTTCGACAAATGATACAGAAAGACCCCCATCGCATTTCCAGTCTTTTCCTTCAACCCCAGACCCTCCAATCGCCCACGGAGGAAGAAGATGGTCATTCTGTCGGTGCCGCAACATGGCAATCTCGCCGCAGTTCATATGTGTCGGTCAATCGTCGCTCAACGGTTGAATCTCGATCCGGATCAGCGTCGACTGGCCGAACTGAGGCCACAAATCCTACCAACGGTTCTGCTTCGATCGGGTCTGACATTCGTTCTTCGTCATTCACTTCTTCGAATATACCCAACTCGCCGCCAATAGGCACCGGTGCTTTCAGACCTGATGAGCCTTTGCCGGAAGAGCTTGACCGAAACTATACGCGCAGCCCGCCTGCTTCTAGTCAAGGGAAACGACAATCCTTATATATGCCCCCGCCACCTCAGCCTCCCCCAATTACCGACTTCACGGAGGAGCCGCAAGCGAATCACCCGCCGCCTATTCCCGAAGCTCTCATCCGCAGTGCTTCACCCCCAGCACCTAATTTCAGTGTCCCCTCGTTTAGCAAGAAATTCGTTCCGAGATCTGGGCCGATCCCCATTTCTCATGCCTCTCCTCCTTCGTCAATTAATGGATTCGCACGCCGTGTCGAGACCGACCCAAATATGTCTGCATTTGCATCTCCTCCCCAATCCCCGACATTCAGCGTCGCCAGTTCGCGCTACACGGATTCATCGGAGCCCAGGCGTGTACTACGACCCTCGAATTCAGAGGATGCCCTGACCAAACCCGTCCGTCCAACGCAGAATGCCCCAAACTTCTCCCGGGTGCCCAGAACAGCGCCTCCTACAGGTCCTCTACCTGATCCCAAAGCATCCTCCCGCCCAGTCAGTCTGGTTCCCCGCTCGAGCATGAGTCGGAAACCCATCAATGCAACCCAAGTCCAACCTGCTTCTCCACCGACAAACCCAATACCGCGCAAGAGAGTCTCCACTATATACCCAGACAACCAAGCTGCTCAGAGCATGTTACGCCGCAAGAGCATGCCCGGTCTTGGTTTAACAAGCGGGCCCCCATCCGCACCACCCCCCAACTGCCCACTCCCTGAACTCCCCTCGCCCACCCCTCCGATCGCCATCACCACCCCTGCTATTTCCACCGGCACGGCCGCCCCGCAGATGCTATCACCATGGTCTCCAACGTCTCCAACGGAACGGTTCTACGGATCCGAGCCAGTGCGAGATCACGTCGAGGATCGGAAGAGTGGTGCCCATGCCGCAAGCAATGATCCAGCAAGCAATGTCCCACGAACTGCTCGGCATTCGAAACTGATCAAGAGTCCCCTGGTCTAAATCTACCCTCTCTCTGTGACTCAACATCGCATCTATGACACTTTACCTCACTCCAACGCCCATACTCCAATACTCCCTCACATCCCTTTCCTACGATCTCTTTCTCACGACAATACCTTGAGATGCATTCCCTATACCCTCTTTCCTTTTCTGAAATCTGTTATTAGTATATCTGGCATTTCGGCTTCGGCCTTACTCAGCATCGAATACCCCCGGACCCCTTTTACATCTATTGCATATCTGAGAGCCTATCATATCCATTCTCTTATTGCGCACATCGGTGATACCAACGCTTGCGTGCATCTGTCAGTTCCTTTTTTTGTCTATACTATCTATGCATCACTTCGCTTCGTTTCGATTGTGCTTCTATTGGCTTTTGTTTTTCTCTTGTATATACCCCGTTTTATTCTGTTTTCTATTGGGGATCCATAATTTACGGCGGATGAGTTTACAGTGGGCATGAAGCATAGAACGGAGCCTGTACATTACCATATTTTTTTCCCTGTCTACTGCCTGCAATGTTCCTACGTCGATTTGATGCTACATGAAACCCAAATAGAAGTTGTGCAATGAAATAAAGATAGAAACCCAGGGAAATAAACAATATCCCAATGATATCAATTCTCAGGAGCAAGGCCCAAAACGCCAAAATGAACATGGAATAAGGATCTTGAAAATACAAATCTCGGATGGCTTGAAATAAGCACCCACATAAGACCGTGCAAGACCAATTCTGATCTATCGGCTTTGAATGTCGTTCGAAACGTAGCAGCACTACTCCTCCACCTCTTCCACACTTGCGGTCAGACCTCGTCGCGCTGCAACAGCGGACGGGGTAGAAGTGGGCTCGGCGGAGGTTGTGGTCGCCGAGGGGGCGGGAGCAGAGGGAGCATCTGAGGGAGCAGCTGCGGTAACTGGGGCGGGAGCAGAGGTTGAAGCCTTGGATTTGCTAGACTTTTTGCTCTTTTTTGTCTGCGGGGTTGAATTGTCAGTTTTGCTATTTCTGGAGAATATAAGAATGGAACAAATGCATACCTCTTGCCAGCCCCATAGAGGCTTGAAGCTGTCGAAGAATCCAACATCTTCGAACAGGTTGGGGAAGAGCCAGAGACCTGGAGCCACAGTGAAGACAGTAATGCAGAAGAGAATCAAACGGAAGATTGCCATGGCGAAGAAGAGACCCAACAGTCCCATCATGCCAACACTCAGATACCACACTCCCTGGCGCATAAACATAGGCCACAACGGGAACAGGACAACGGCGAAAATACCCGCGACCACGGCGGCGGCCATGGCCTTTTGCTTCCACTGTGGGCCGTCATACAGCCAAACATAATGCATCATAGGGTCGGTCTCCTGGTGCTGTTCGATCTTCACGGTCCATAGACCCTTGGTGCGGTTCTTGGGCTTGGCATGGTTGTGTCCTTCGTGGGGATCAACCTTGCTGACTCGGAGAGCCAAAAGGGAAAGTGGAAGAAGCTTGAAAACGTTCTCGGCGGAGGCGCGATCGGTCACTGGGGGGAGGAGGGAGTTCTTCTTTGAGGCGGCTTTGGCATAGGCGGGGGATTCAATGGCTCGGATTGCGCGCTTGACTGCATTGACAAAAATCATGTTAGATAGTGATTCCTCGTAATGTATTTAGATGTTGGTCGCTGCTCACCCTTGAACATGTCCTTGCGCTGTCCGTCCATGATACATGTGCGTGGCTTGAGGTTTTGCGACCGCAGCCAGTTGGCCACTGCCAATGCCTTTGGGTCTGGAGGATTGTTGGGGTTCACAGGAACCTGTTGTGTGGTTGTGTGTTGGTGCTGCTGGGGTGCGGGCGACGCAGCTTGTTGTCCTTGTGCTGCTTGACCCTGTTGTTCGGCTTGAATCTTTTGTTGCTGTTGGTGAGCTTGCATTGCTCGCATGCGCAACTGCGCAACATATTGCTCAGTGGTCAGGCCAAGCTTTTCAGCATCGGCAGCCAGCTGTTCACGCTGCTTTGCGGCGAATTGCTGGGGCGTCATCCCTCGTTTGGCGGCTTCGGCAGCAAACTGTTGCTGCATGGCCGCCATTTGCTCAGGACTGGGCTGGCCGGGGGTGGCCATTTTGAATTAAAATTGGAAATAAAAAGCAGAAGAGAAGAAGGAAGTCCAAGGCAGAGAAGAAGTTGTGAAAGAAAAGAAAGAGAAGTGGCCAGATTGACTCAGCTGATTTGTCCGCCCTCCCGACTTCCCCGGCCAAGCTTAATATTCTTCCCTTTTACATTCAACCGTCGCGTCGAACACTGAACATGAGCTTCATGAGCTTCAGAGCTATTTTCATGTCGATGCTCAATGTCTGTCCAATATGACTCTACGGAAACCCTGTTGAACGCTACCTGGGTGGCTGTTCTACTGGTAAGTGTCTCAGTTCGCAATTAATGCCCCCACACTCACATGAATGTCTTAATCTAGAGCGAACGAGATGTGGCTGGTCAAATTCCACTTAACTATGTGACAAACCCTGCTGTGTCACTGTCAGCTGCCTGCTTTGGAAACCGCATCTATGATCGAGATGTCGCTGCAAAATGTTTCTCTAACCTCGTCGCAATCGGGTACCGACGTCTTGTTGTCGATCTATATTGGTCGGTCAACCGTAGGACTTGGTCTTTCTGTCCAGTGTCTGTTCCAGCTGAATCTGCAGTAACTGTATCCTCGGGTACATCCACCACATCAACATCAACAGCTAGCGCGAACTCTGCGACTGTCACCGGTACAACTGATACACATGGACTCACTCTCTATGAGCTAGGGTCATACAAGTGCACCAACGATCTCGATCCCTACACCTTGGCGGAAGTGCTTGTAGGTTATTTCCGTGAGACAAACTCACGTTTGACCGTGTACACAACCTATCTCGTTCTCAATCTCCATGTCGCTGCAAGTGACTCTACACCAGATGAGCCTGCTTCTACTATCTCAGGAAGCCAAATGCCATCGGGGGCCGAGCTAGCCGGCTCGATCTTTGGAGTGTCCCTTGAGGACTTTATCTATAGCCCGGCTCAGCTTGCCTCGGACCGAAGCAATTTAAACCAGTCATGGTACAAGGTCGAGCAGGGCTACATGCCCATCACAGAGTATTTCACCGTTCATGAAAATGAAGCGGGTGAACAGAGCACTCCGGATGGCTGGCCATCATCAAAGTACATTCAGCTTGCGAAACGCGATCGCGTACTCATTGAATACGGCTCGATCGATTCCCAACTGATGAATTACAATCTGTCTACCGAAGAAAATTTGGTCTTTCCACCCGGGCAACTGACTTCCGATGTGAAGATCACCGCAACCACCAACGGCACTCTCACTTCAGGCTGTCTGTATGATCCGGGGCTCACACGCGTGTCTCAAACCAACTCATCATGGGCTGTATCCAGTCGTCTCCCTGTCCCTGATGGTCTTTCCACAGATGAAACGATGGCTTCACTGTCGAATATTCTCTCTGGCATTACAGCTTGCGGTCTCTCGCCAATGCTCAACACCACCCTCTTTGGCCAGACTGCAGACCAGCAAGTTGAATATTACCGTAATGTCTCACTCGCCTCTTCCTGGGCTTGGGCTATCGGCGAGCCACATGATGCAAAGTATGGCGGTGGCGATGGTGCTCCCAAGTATGACCGCTGTGCGATCATGGATCTAACGCTGGACGGCCACTGGCGATCCACGAATTGCACTGAGCAGCGGCGTGCCGCCTGTCGAGTCGGTAATTCGCCTTTCTCCTGGGTCCTGTCAGACTCGACCGAATCATTCTCCAATGTGTCGAACACCTGTCCGCCAGGATCAAGCTTCGCTGTACCGCGCACCGGTCTCGAAAACACGTATCTCTACAGACACCTTCTCTCTCTGCCAGAGACAGAAGTCGACTTGGGCTCCACAAACCCCGCACTTCGCGAGGTCTTCGTAGACTTCAACTCGATAGATGTTACTTCCTGCTGGGTATCCGGTGGCTATGAGGCGAGGTGTCCCTATGCCTCTGACCCGCAGCAAATCGAGCGCAGAACTGTGCTTGTAGCTGCAATTGCGGGTATCATCGTTCTTCTCATCACGGCCTTAACTTTCTTTGTCAAGTGCAATGCCAACCGCCGAAATTCCCGGCGCAGAAAGCGTGTCATCGAAGGATGGGAATATGAAGGTGTTCCCTCATGAGATACCCTCTCTACTTGAAATTATCTCGGTAGTGACCCCAGGCGCTCGGCACACCCTGAAGGTGCTGTCTCGGCCTTTTGGGTGTAATATCAAGACTGGACATCTTATATACTATCCATACTGCCTTGCGCTTTCATTTCACATTTATAATTCTGAAGCCCCTGCCCTCTCCACCACCGGACTTGTCTGTGCGCACTCCCCGCAACATCCATGAGCTGGAGTCCAGCGACCAGCTATCGGGCTCAACTCTGCAGCAGGCGGAAAATTTCTTCCGGGGTGCTCTTTTCCGTTGATTATATTAGCCATGGAAACATGAATACAATCGGCGACTTCTTGAAACAAGCAACCCTTCATTGACAATTGCCAATGACATGGGATGCGTGACAACAGAGGGTTTTGGCTGCTTGACTTCTGCCGCTTAGGCACAGTACAGCCTCTTCTTGGGCGTCACAGACCATGCAGATACTCGCCACGCATGAGACACTTGAGAACGTCAGTTCCTAGGGGACTGCGATCTCGTCCGTTTAGCGATTTCCCTGATTTGTCTCTGGACATCAGGAACTTTATCAATTGCTACCTTCAAAGCACTGCCAGAAATATTGGGGGGGGTTGTATTCTATTGAGCTCATTTTTGACTCGTCTCTATTTGTCGCATCCTGTCTACGCAAGAAGATTCTCTTAGCTATTGCTTCAAGTGCATACCACAGAGACGCAGTCAAAACCTCAGAGAATCCATACCTAATTATCTTTCCATCAAATACCAATCCCATACTTAGAGCTACCCCCAATGTGACCAAATGGTCAGTCATTCCGTAGATGGTGTCAACTTCATCT